AAGCAACAAAAATGTGTGATAAACTTTTTTTTTTTAACAGATTTAGTCATGTTATGCCTAAAAAACAGCATGTCACAGCAGTGACCACAGCATTTTTCTGATTACTATGATGCTTGTTTTTAAGTTTATATAGTAAAAATGCATTAAACTGTCCATCCTATGTTAACATTATTTTAAATTGTCTTAAAATTGTATATAAAAATATATTTTGATAATAAATCTTGTCCCAAGATTTTTTGTCAGTTTAAGAAACATGAAATATCATTTAAAAAGATGATTTACTACTTGCATGGAGATCTCAGAGAAAGAAAGGCTAAGAAGTGCAAGGTTAAATCTCTTTTATGTATATTTCTGATACTTGTAGCTAAAACACTGACAGCTTCATGTCAAAAAAGACTGTGTCCCTCGTGTGAATCATGAAACATTAAGAGATTTTAAAATTGAAATAAAAGAATAACATGAATACAAAGTTTGTTTTTACATACAGTCTAACTAAATTCTTTTTTATAAAAGCTCAGATTTTAGTAATTTCATCAGTGGTGGTACAGTCAGTGGTGAACCTTAACAACTAGTGTTGTTCAATATAATGGACTACATTTTGCCCCTGAATAGCATATCAACATTTGTGTTTTCCACCTCAATGGTAGAACGACCCTTATCTATAGTAATGGACAAGGGTAGGTTGCATTGCTAAAATAGTAATAGCAACCAACTTAAGGCATGAATTTCATCTGTATTTTTGTCAATTTTTATAGATAACAGTTTGTCATACAGTGTCAGGAACAACATACGCGAACATACGCGAGCCGCTTGAGTGAAGTGTGCCATGATTTAAGTATGCAGTTTGCACGATGCTAATTAGGAGGAATAAGCTTCTGTTATTAGCTACATTAGCCTCGAAGCTCCAGCAACACTAAAGAAACCAACTTCGCCTGCCAAACATGACTTGGCCATTCGACTACAACTGAGGTCAGGGAAAAACTGTCTACATTGCTTCAAGCAGTTTGAACTTTATCCGAAAGGAACAACAGCACATCTTGCTCCTACACTTAGCTAGGACGTGTATTGATATTGATGGTGACCTTTCAGCCAGCGTGGACAGCACAGGCCTGAGCTGAGCATGGGTGTGCGTCCGCACATCAGATTCCGTAATGCAATGGTATATTACTCCCTAGAGTGTCTGGTTTCATTCAGTAGGAGTGAATGAAATGCTTCATTCCCTGCTAGAGGCCTTAGCCATGTGTGTTTTGTGGAATTGCTCTGGAAGAAGAAGGATTCAGGTTCAGTGTGCAGAGTGTGAGCAGATGGCTGTTGTACTTTAATAAGGCAGACTAAAGAGCTACTGCAGTAGGGCCACTCCATACATACACACACACACACACACACACACACACACACTCAGTAATAACCTGAGTGGAGGCTCCAGACGCTGGCAGTAAATCAGGCAATGGCTGCAGCTGTCGTTCTCTCTAAATAAGGGGAAGATGGACAGGGAGAGAGAAGTGACCGGCCAGTGGCCCACGCACAGCCAAGACTTTCATTTAGGAAAAGGAGCAAGACAGAGAGGGAGTGAGAGAGAGAGAGAGGCATAAATGCTTACAGTACAAACTCTCCCACCCTCTCATTAGCTTAACCTGTCATCCTTTTTTCTCCTGTCTCACTCCCACTCTCATCTACCGTTTTGCTCATTCACTGGCCCGACGCTTAAACCCTGACTTTCTGTCTGTCTTAACCTTAACCTCCACTTGTAATTCAGATATAATGGGGACATGAAAGGCACCAATTCAGTGCCTTTTGCACTATATCTTTCCAGCGAATGTATGCACATTTTTAACCTAGTTTCTATTGGCTGCATCTGTAGTGTTTCCCTGTACTTAATATGAGAACAGAAAAATTGTTGACTGGAGCCCCTTCCTATTGGCTTACATTATATGTTTTTTACCTTCACTGAAAACAAAGAATACTTACTGTACTTGATTAAAATGTATACATCAGTTTGACATGAATAAAATATATTACATCAACTCAATTCTTTAAAAAAAATGAGCAAACAGAAAGAAAAGATTCTGTTGATGTAACATATTTCATTCATGTGGGACCAATGTACACATTTGAATCGAGTAGTCAGCATTTTTCCCCTCTATACAGTGAAATTACTGCCTGTGGTATGTTAAGGATTAGGTTGAAAAACAATGAAATATGCATAACTGTTGGTGAAACTAAATTAGGTCTCAAGACACACTTTTTCTGGATAAGCTGTAATGTATTGGAAAGCCATTAAGCCACATGATAAAAGGAAATTACTTCATCAAGACTTTCTAACAGCACAGCCAATAGAAAAAATATGGGACGTTACTGAAGCGTATAATTATAATTATTTTAAAGGGGGGATGTTCCAAAATTTCTGCATAATTAAACTTTTAAGATTGTAGGCAAAAGCCATTCAGAGTGGTTTAATGTTCTAGAGTCAGAACTGTTCACAGTGGTGCTGATAGGAACCAGACGTCCGAAGAGTTTAATGGCTCTAAAAGCTATATTACAGACATTTATTACACTAAATGGTTACAAACGCTTTGACAGATGCCACAGACATTTGTTTTTACGAGAGTTTTAAGGTCTAGAAAGTATTTTCCAATACACTGAAGGCAAAGAGGTACATGCAGAAGCTTGTAAGGCAAAACTGTCCCTCAAAGAAAACTTATTTTTCAGATCAACTGCTATTTTACCATTATCACTATTACATATAAACTCAGAAGACATTTGTAGGTTTACTAGTGGTCTCAGATCATAAAAAAATATATATATATATTTGTGTTGTAGAAATCCCGACCTTTGGTTCCTATCATCACCCCTGTATAGAAATCTGAGTCTGTTAGTTTCACATCAAATCCACTCTGAATGTCTCTGTTTACACCTCAACAATTAAATAATGCAGACATTTTGAAAAATAAGAGGATTTCTTTTAAAATAGTAACACAAATGAAATTTAAACTATATTTTCCCACACAGCTCTCTCGCTCTCTTTCTCTCTTTGTGTGGTGTGATTGGATTTGGGAGGCTAACATGTTTTATAGGCTCCGAAATGAGGGGGAAGCCATGGAGACGGCGGCACGAAGCGTGTTTCTGACCTTAAACTGCTCACAAACAGAACAATAAAGCTGTTTATAAGAAAACAATACTGTTTACCAGCACTAGAAAGTATTACTGTTTGCTAGCTCTCTCCTCTCTGGTTCTTTCGCACACACAAACATGACTGAAGCTATATATTGATCATCAATGAATAATTAAAAAACAATTCCACCATCAGTCTACTGTTAATGTACAAAATGAATGCAAGTATGGACACACAAACTCTCCACTGACCTCTGACATTGCTGTGCTTTTGTGATTTATGAGTAAAAAGATAAGAAAAGAGTAGGCTCTCAGAACGCCAGAGGACGTCTAATTTATATCTACTGTAAATGGTATTGGCCCACTTTTAGAAAGAGGAATAAAAAAAAGCTTTAAATGAATGGGACAAACTTTTTGTTCCTAAAGGATTCAGAACATCTCGGAGCAAAAATATCTCTGATTAGAGGTTTAAATCTGGCTCAGAAATGGGGCAGTGCTACAAGTACGACTAGCACTTAAGTACATACACTTATAGACATAATTCCCGCTGGACCACTATACCCCTAGGGTCAACAGGGTTGACATGATCATTTACATTGACACTCTGAGACCATATTCTTGCCCAGGATCTCTGAAAATGCTCTGGCCTCTGTTAATTTGGCATATTTTGCAAAACTAGCCTAGCATAGCCTGAACTTAATTAAACCTATATTGCCCTGCTATAATGCCAGTAAAAGATCAAAATCACAGATTATAGCTTGCATTTTTCAGATTACCCATTGACTGTTTCGGAAGGCCAACACATCTCAGATGCTTAAAGGAATAATTTAGTGAAAAATCTAGTTTGCACAGTTTTTCAATTACTGCAGATGTAATCGATCAGCCAGGGCATTTTCTTTTTTAGTTTAACACTGGAACTACGAGGCTAATATTGCTAACAAGCACTAGAAGTCAATATTCACATTATTTTTTCTGAAAATACATCCCCAACACTTCTTTCAAGCCTCAACAACATGGCTGCCTGCAGCATTCAGATACATAGTGAAGTTTTCTTAATGAATATCGTAAACCACATTGACAAACTTAATAAAGACCTGTATGCAGTTTTATGATACATTTTGGGGATGTAATTACAGAAAAGATTTGGGAGAATTCTAGTGTTTGGCAGCTGCTTTAGTCTCGTAGCTCCCTTACTAAACTTAAGAACCAAAATTTGGACACCAAACATGTCTCCATTGATTGACAACATCTGAGATTAGTAGAAAACAGTGTAAATTCCAATTTAGCAAGTCACGTCATGTCCCATTATAACCCAAACAGGAGCAATTCACCAAACAATATACGGAATGCTAACGAGGTGAAATGTAACCTATGAATCAATGTCAGGATATTGAATTAGCCTCGTCACCTTCAGTTGCCAAAGCTATGTGACTGATTTAATTGCAAGCCTTGAAGCATGGGATATCTTTCAGTAGAAAGAATTGAAACGAAAGATAATATGCAGGAAATACAGCCACTCATTCATGCCGCAAACAAACTGAAGTGGCATCTTGCCATGTTGCGCCCAAGCAACTACACGGCTCACACTTCGCACCACTCTTTCTATGTCTTTTTCTGTGGCATGGGGGTTGAAGGTAATGAGTGATTCATGACTCAGGAGTCAACATCAAAGAAAAAGCGCACCTGTCAGGTTAAAGCCATGAACCAGTCATGCTCACACACACATGCACAGACACGTTCAGAGGATGTACACACACCATCCCACACACAGACACACACACACTGATGCCAACCGCATCCCGTGCTGAGCTTCTTTGCACTTAAAAATATTAATTACAGAAATAACCTTATTTACGGCTTCTCCATAAAAAGCTGCACTTAGTCACAGAGATCGGTGTTCTTTTTATTTCACACAGCTTATCAAGAGTTCACATAAAAAATAATTCTGTAACTTTTATGTTTAACACTGCAGTAGAAACACTAACAGGTCCACTTTATCTCATCCCCAACTGTTCTTTCTTTGCCTGAAGCCAAAGGCTCGACCCTAACTCCTTTTCCAACAGGCAGGACCCAATCAAAGCCCATCAAACGTCCAGACGATGAAACGGACTGTTTCCAGTCCATTTCCTGACCCCAATGCATGTCAGGCAGTTTTAGGTGGCACAGCAGTCTAGTCTCTCATGCCCTGGAGCCTGAAATATTCCAGTTGTCCTCTTCTAATGCTCTGTACGACTGTTTAATATCTCTCAAAATCAGAAAAGTCAGAGAGATAGAGAAAGGAAGAAAACTGGCCTTGCTGCTTCTGGCTCACTGTCAGAGCTCTGGAAGGGCGTCCTTGAGATTCTACAGCAATATCCTCCATTACTGTGAAAGGATTTCCATTTTGCAGAAAGATCTCCTTCAGTTTCCTGGAGTACCTCTGCACTGCATATTCTAGTTTTCTCCCACTCTAAAGCATCCACTTCAGCTCAGGCTTGTTAATTATCCAACTGAACCAACCTGTTGGATCAGGTGTGCTACAGCAAAGAATGGCAAATCACCAAAATAAGCAGCGCAAGGGCACTGTAGTACCACTACTGGGAACCACTGGTCTAGTCAGCTTATAAAGATCAATCTAGATGGACTTCGTCCAGGTGGAGCAGAGTGATGTCCTCCAGAACTTACACATCTAGAAGGATTTCTTCCAAGGCGAGCAAAGGATCTTCTGGAAGGCCCTCCTGAAGTCTTGGTTGAAGATGGTGTAGATGACGGGGTTGAGGGAGCTGTTGCAGTAGCCGATCCAGAAGAAGAACTTGAAGAGCACGTCCGGGATCTGACAGGCCTGCCCGCACACGCCGTACAAGCTGTAGCTGAAGAAGAATGGGAACCAGCAGACCACGAACACGCCCATTACCACGGCCAGCACGAATGTGAAGCGCTTCTCCCTCACCTGGGACGCCCGCCTCTTGACACTGCTGCCACTGCTGCTGCTCTTCCTTCGACCACTTCTCTTCCTCCGCGAGGAGAAAAGCTCCCTGGCCCTACTTCCAGCCCGGGACGTCCTCCTGGGGGGCTCTGCACCTGTTCCGCCACCTTCCGGACTCTCAACTTGGCTCCTGCTTGGGGTTGGATCCCTCACCTTCTGAACTTTGGCCTCTGATGAAGAGGTGACCTCTGGTTCCTCATGGCTTGGCGACATCCTGGGCATGCCCTCTATGCCGTGCGGCCCCAGGACAGTCACACAGTGCCCATTCTCCCTCTCCTCTCCAGGCCTCCCCACCTGCGTGGCTTTGCTGAAGCCATTCTCCGTCTGCGTGGGGGCATCCAGACTGTGCTTCTTCTTCTCTGACATGGTTCTCGTCCTGGTTTTGGCCACTTGGTAGATCCTGATGTAGACAAGCACCATGATGACGCATGGGGCGAAGAAGGAGGCCACGCTGGACGAGAGAATGTACCAAGTCTCGTCATTCAACTCGCACTGCGGCCGCTCAGAGGCGTCTGTCTGACTGTCGGCCGAAAGCAGTGGTGGTGATGAAATGGCAGCTGATATCAGCCACACCATGAGAATGACCACTTTCACGCGCCGCGGAGTCCGCTTCAGGTTGTACTCCACAGCTCGCGTCACAGACCAATACCTGTCCAGGCTGATGGCGCACAGGTGGACGATGGATGAGGTGCAGAAGAGCACATCCAGTGCTAGGTAGGCACCACACCAGGTGCTGCCAAACAGCCAGTAGCCCATTAACTCGTTGGCCAGTGAAAAGGGCATGACCAGGGTGGCCACCAGAATGTCTGCTGTGGCTAGCGACACCAGGAACAGGTTCTGTGGCGCTTTCAAAGCCCTGCTGGTCAGCACGGCGATGACTACCAGCACATTGCCCACCACAGTGAACAGGATGAGGAAAGTGACCAGTGCTGCGAGACCCGCTGCTGTGGCTGAGGAGTACGGAGCCCCTGTGTCCCAGGACGAGTTAGGAGGGCCGATGCCGCTCCCATTCAGCCCCTCCATCCCTTATCCTCCCTTTCACATCGACTCCTTACCTTGGATACAGAGTGTAAAGCGCAAAAACCCGAAGATCTTCTCGCATCAGGCAGCTCGTGCGCGCTCGGTGCGCCTGCCGTCTCCAACTCGCTCTGCTCTCGTTTTCTCCGCTTTCGTCCACCCGTTCTCCGGCAAAAACCCACCCTCTCGCCGTCGGATTGGGTGGGAGAAGGAGCTCGCACGCTCTGATTCGTTAGCCGCATACCGGCGAGTGCGACCGTCAGCCTGTCGGAGCGCGGCAGGGCGGGGGTTTTTACCGGCTAACCCGATCGCGGGAGGGAGGGGGTTGCCGGAATACGGTGGGAAAAGAGAAGGAGCGTCTCCAAAGCGCTCCTGATGAGAGAGACGGACAGTGACAAAACAGCGCTCTGCTGAAACCGATCGACTGAAGCTCGCTGCAAAGGGAGGTGTGGGACCCTTCAAGGTTCTACTACAGGACCGCCTCTGTGCTCTCCTCTCATCAGATAATGAAATGGAGAAACAGAAGCACTCCACCGACAGGGTCCACTCCGCCTCACATTTTCAACTAAGTTATTATTCTTATTGTTATGTTAAATGTGTATTTGATGAGCTATTAGAATTTAAATTGAACGTGCACAGATCTCTCTAATAGGTTATGGATGAGTGGCGCCCTTTGATGAGAGTCAGGGGGTCTTTAATGCGGTCTACTTTGAAAAAACAGAAGAAGAAGAGCTTTTTATTTGATTACTTTTTGCTTTGGATGGGATCCGTGCAGATTCATTCTTTCTGTTTATTTAACGCGTTCTTTGAACTTTTGATGAGCAAGAGCAAACAAACCCACACGAACGCGCACACGCTCACGCACATACATATTTCAGGAAGTGGGTTAAACTGTCAAAAATCTGACCTTTTTTGAACACTTTAACTTGCGGTTATTAAAAAAATAAAAATAAAAAAAAACCTGACGAGAGAGGATCAGCCATAACATTAAAACGTCCTCACTACACTTGTTGTTCATTTTATCAGCTCAATTTGCCACATAGGTGCACTTCGTAGTTCTACATTTACAGACTGTAGTCCATCTGTTTCTCTACTTACTTGGCTGCCTTGCTTTCACTCTGTTCTTCAGTGGTTAGGACCTCCACAGGACCACCACAGAGCAGGTATTATTTGGGCGGTGGATCATTCTCAGCACTGCAGTGACACTGACGTGGTGGTGGTGTGTTAGTATGTGTTGTGCTGGTATGAGTGGATCAGACACAGCAGTGCTGCTGGAGTTTTTAAACACTGTGTCCACTCACTGTCCACTCTATTAGACACTCCTACCTTGTCAGTCCACCTTGTATATGTAAAGTCAGAGACAATAGCTCATCTGCTGCTGCATAGTTTGTGTTGGTCATCCTCTAGTCCTTCATCAGTGGTCTCAGGATGCTGTTGGCTGGATATTTTTGGTTGGTGGACTATTTTCAGTCCAGCAGTGACACTGAGGTGTTTAGAAACTCCAGCAGCACTGCTGTGTCTGATCCACTCATACCAGCACAACACACACCAACACACCACCACCACATCAGTGTTACTGCAGTGCTGAGGATGATCCACCACCTAAATAATACCTGTTCTGTGGGGGCCCTGTGGGAGTCCTGACCATTAAAGAACAGGGTGAAAGGAGGGTAACAAAGTACCCAGAAAAACAGATGGACTACAGGTAGAACTACAAAGTGCTCCTATGTGATGAGGAGCTGATAAAATGGGCAATGAGTAAAGAAACAAAGAGTTGGTCTTAATGCTATAGCTGATTGTTGTGTAACAGACAATCAAACTGCTGATACACAAACTCATTTCTTTATGCAAATGAGCTGAGCATTCCCACGTCTCATTTGCACACTGAGATTCAACACTCGACCCGGAGATACAATATATATATATATATATATATATATATATATATATATATATATTCATACACACACATTTAGAGTTCAAAAACAACTTAAGGCTGCTTTGAGGCTCAGAACTCACCTACATTTCTACCTTTCTTCTGGGCACCTAAACTTGCCTGGGTTCAAGCGGCCTGCAACCCAAGTGGCCAACAGCTGGTGAGTGAAGCAATTCGCTCGCTGTAAAGAAAATCCAGCAATAAATGAGAATTCCATAAATTGTTCAAAATTTCTGCATAGTTTAATGGTTAAGATTACTAACACATTCACCCCAATGAAGATGGCATTAATTAAAATCAGACAGCTGAAATATAAAGAAAACACCACCAGCAAATTTAAAAACACAAGCTGTCAAGCACCCAAGGCTAAAGTATACTGCACACAGTGGGTGTGGAAAATGTGGACAATTTATTTCTTACCTTTCATGACTTTATGTGCCAAAAATGATGCAGCAACTTTTTTCTCTAATTCTAGCTGATACTTTGTCAAAGTATCAGGCCTCGCTTTAACAGCTCACCCAGGCACTTTTGTTGTATATCTAAAGCTTCAAATTCGAAGTACATTCACAGGAATGCTACTTCACTGAAAAAAGGCCCTGAAGGCTTGACTGAGTTATGGGTGGATTGCTAAATTGCTAAGCACTGACTGGAGGAGAAAATAAAGTGGACATTTTGAGGATTACATTTGGTTATAACACAGTGACAAGTTAATTTTTTTTAACGTTGTTATGCTGAACTGCTAATAAATCTAAAGGTTTAGATTTTGTCATAATTGCTTGCGGAGGCCCTCTAGTGGCTTTGGCTCCTGAGCACGCACCCATCAACCCCCCCAAAAAACCTAGGGCATAATCCAGGCCTAGGTACACGCAGGGTGCTGTAAGGCAAAATAGTCCCCGAAGAAAACTTCTCTTTTTTAAGGTTTGTCACTGTTTTATGATCATCAACATTACATATCTCATATGACACATGTAGGGTTAGATATCTATATTTCTATCGCAAGAGGTATACCCACAATATTCTCAGAAAAGCCTACTGAGGTGACAACGATAAAATACTGTCATATTGCCCACCCCCGGTTCCTATCACCACCACTGTAAAGAAATCAGTCAGTAAGCTTGTCTACTATGAATCATTTCACATCGAACCACTCTGAGTGACTTTAATTGATACTGAGTATCAGTTATGCAGAGATTTTGAAATATTTGTGGAATTTCCTTTTATTAGTGCACAGCTGCTGCAGATTTAGAAAATACATAAATAAACCATAACAAAAACAACACCCATAGGTTCTTTACTATGCTCACCATGCTTTACTTTGAGAGCCAGTTCGTTTCTATTTTCAAATTATTATTAGCTGTTGCAGTTAAATAATCTGGGGGTGCTGCAGCCCCCTCATCACTCTCACTTCCGTGTCACTGAAAAGGCGTGTGTGGGCTGTGAGCAGGTGGTCATGCCATGATCAGACACTTTATACTCCTAAACTCGTTCTGAAGTCTCTCTGGTTCCTGCAGAGCCCTTTCTCTTGCATGCCTGGAATAAAGAGCACGCTCCCTCAGATACGCAGCCTACTGTGTGTGTGTGTGCCGTTGAGCCCTGCAGCACAGCAGGGATTTAAAGCAGACATGACAGGAGGGAACACTTACCTATGGGGAATTTAAACAACTTCCTTTGGTCTACCGCAATATCATGCGCCACAGGGGTTGCATGGACACTGGAGGCCAAAGGTATGTATGTGAGAAGGCGCAGTGCGAAGTATGCCATGATATCTGCCTCTTAAATCAATGTTCAATTTACTAAAGCTGTAGCTAATCATGCAAAATGTGCACAGCCCCGTCTACTTATTAAAGCTCTGTGCTTGTGACGTGGGGGATTTAAAGGAGAATCCCACCAATGTTTCAAAATTTCTGCATAATTCACTTGTTGAGATGTAAACAGAGTGGTTTTACATGAAATGGTTAATTGTAGAGTTGTACATTTAAATTTACTGACTCAGATTTCTTTACAGCAGTGCTGATAAGAACCAGGGGTTGCCATGTCTACAAGAGCAGTGTTAATAAATGTTGTTTCCCACCACAACATTATGGTCGAGCGCATAAACTTGTTAAACACTAACAGAAAGCAATAGTGTTATTCTGTTAGTACAAAATCTTTCAGCACCTGATCAAGGCCTATGCCTCCTCTATGCCTCTATGAACCCTGCCATTGGTAAAGATAATCTCCAACCAACATGCCTTTGAGACACTAGTCTACCACAAATTTACAGACTGAAAAAAAAAACAAACATCAACACGACTTCGCCTTTTAATCTACAAGTCTTTGGCAATAATTGTATGTAATGTATTTATCTATGGAAAAGATGTACATCAAATCAATTCACTTTTTTTCCAATGTGCCTGCTTGTAAGAAGTAAAGAAAATCAATAAAAAATCGTCCGCTGAAAGTAAATCTAAAGGAACATGCAATTATTTGCAAGATCTCTGGCCATTTGTGCACAATCCTCCCTCAAATGCCTGTACATGGAGGAGAGAAATGCACTTTGTATTTTTGCATTCATGGCAAGTGAACTGTGCGTTTAGGCTCATACGCTGGTTTCATGAACAACAAGCACACTTTTCTGGGCAGAATGTGTTCTGAAACCTGGCACTAAAGACCTGGCCCTGAGATCTTCAATTGTTAACTGCAGAACTCAGTAATATTTGGCAGGCCCTGATGTGAAGATGAAAAAGATATTTAGAGGAAAATGAAAAGCATCTTTCATCGAGAAAACAAACAAAAACAGTCGTGCCTCTGTGCACGCCTACAGAGTCATTGCTCATCAGAACCAAGCCCAGGTCAAAACTGGCTTGTACACAGCTCTTGGAAAGACCCACATCAATTTACACCGGGCACCTCCGCCTTCAGGTGTTTGGAGGCAATGTGCAGCGGATGGCGGCACCTGCAAGTAGATGCATCATTACAGCCCACAGTGTTCGACACAAAAAAGGGATGATTTTTGATTTTACTGATCTTTTTAATGACATATCGTGGTATAAAACCCAATGATAATCATACTGTTTAAAAAAGTGACAGTAAACAGTCTACTGCTACACTCTCTCTGCAAATCATGCATCACATCATCCCATACAC